CTTTCTTTCTTTCTTTCTTTCTTTCTTAACAGATTTGGAGATCTTTGGTCCAGTTATCACCTCTGCCACAACTTTCTGGAGGATCTCATCTCAGTTCAGAAAGCAGAAATCTTCAGAAGGATGTGAGTAGAACTTGAACCGTTGTTTGGCTTGGAGAGAATTTATGAAGGGCTCTGATTAAGAAGGATATTTGTAACTTAGGTTTGAAATGACGGGTCCTTCCTTGTTGCTCTTTGAGCTTGGTGGTTTTCTTGCAGACGGTTCATTACCCAACTAGGCAACATCATCAGTGCACTTTGCATATTTGGGGTCACGAAACCTCTGCAGGAAAACCACCAAGCTCAGAAAGCCCCAAGGATCCCCCATACAAGGGGCTGTGCGCACACAATTTCGAACTGTGGCCCCATCTTCAACAGGTATTATACCTTTGCCATCTGTATGTGATTCATGGTGGTATTTGTCCATGGCTAGTTCAATCCTTGGATTTAAATCAATGCCTCCATCTGCATTTCAGCTACGTTCCCCAGCAATCTTTTTATGAGTGCAAAGGAAGTGTAGACTGTTACTTTGTTAAAGAAACAATGTTGGGTAATGTTTGGATGCAGGCTCTAGTTTCAAGACGTCATACCTGGTGTGCCCTCTCTTCCAAAGAGTTGAGAAGAGACCATCTGTGCCCCATTGGGTGATCATGTCAGAGATATATCCTTACTTAAACGGAGAAACAGAATGACCACAGGCAGGCAAAAAAAAAAAAGTAGTGGGAGCAGGAGGGACTTCTGATTTCCTGCTGGCTTTCTCATTAAGTTTCCTTTTGGGAATCTGGTCAGGAACATCAGAAATCTTCCCTTCCCTTCATTTCCCTTCCCTTCCTTGTCATTCCCTTCCCTGTCTTGTCCTGTCCTTCCCTTCCCTTTGCTTCCTTTCCTTTCTCTTTCCTTCCCTGTCCTGTCCTTCCCATCCCTTCCCATCCCTGTCCCGTCCTGTCCTTCCCTTCCCTGTGCTGTCCTGTCCGCTGTCCTTTCCTTTCCTTCCCTTCCTTTCCCTTCTCTTCCCTTCCCTTCCCTGTCCTTCCCTGTCCTGTTCTTCCCTTCCCTGTCCTTCCCTTACCTTCTCTTCCCTGTCCTGTCCTTTCCTTCGCTGCCCTGCCCTGCCCTTCATTCCCATCAGGCAGGTAAGTGGCTGCTGCTGGGTAAGGGAAGGAGTAAGGGATTGTGAGACTGCCTTGGAAACTGTCATGGGACATTGAAATGAAGCTCTCATGACAGCAACAGCAGTGCAGTAGCATCCAATAGCCCTGAAGCAACCAAAACTTTCCCAAATTTCTTTCCTTCTGGAGTCCTGGTTTTGGACACATTGGCCCATTTAAGGTAGTTTGATCCAAAAATTGTTTCCCTGTGATGCACTCTTGCCCAGTTAAAAGTCTTAACAGTGAGAGTTTTAATAGTATATACATTTATGGAATTTAGGGGCATGGATTGGCAATTAGTAATAGGATTTGAGGGAGTCTGAAATAGAAGATACCCTTAACTGGGGGTAAATGGTTTCAGTGAAGATGAATAATCAAGGGTAGGCTTATATGCCCAATTTTTCTACACAATACAGCTACTTGGAATGGTCTGGAGACTTGCTAAGTAATATAGCAATTTGGGATGTACTCTTTGAGGTTTTCCAAAGTGAAGAATGCTTTTCCTTTTTTCTAATGGGGCATTATATTTTCAGTTTCTTCTGCATCTTCAATTTAATCCATTATCTTTGGAAAAAAATCAAGATTTTATTATTATAAGCTGCACATCTAGGAGGGAAGGAAAGTGGTGAACGTTGGTTCATCCAGTGTGGCATTGTCTACACTACCTCCTGGGTTTTAACATACCATATTTTTCCGAGCATAAGACACACTTTTTACCCCCCAAAAAGAGGGTGAAAATTTGGGTGAGTTTTATATACCGAATGTAGCCCCACCCACCCACCGGCCCCAACCCTTTGAATTGAATTGAATTGAATTGAATTGAATTGAATTGAATTTTATTATTTGTATGCTGCC